ATTTACTCCAAAATTGGCACTCCTAATTACTCCACCAATTAATCGATTTTTCCGATAATTGTTAGCTAGCGCTCTAGTTGTTGACAACCGCTACGGTGCTATCTAACAATTATTGGAAAAAACGATTAATTTCCGGAGTAACTAGCAGTCCAAATTTGGGAGTAAATTATATTTTCCAGATAATCCATCCGGGCCTTAAATCCGCCCAAAACAGTAAGTACGATATTAAATTATTATTGAAGTAAATCAAGTAAACATCACTGACAAATTTGTGAAGATATTTTTAATAACTGTTAATTCGTTGAAACACAAATAATCAGCAGTCGAAGAGCTCAGAGTTATTAAAAGGGAAGTTGGAGTGATTGAAGGAGAAGGTACAGGGAGTCATCGACGAGGCAGGAAAAACGGAGCTGGGTAAAAAAGCTGGGCAATTGGGTAAGGCAATTTCAAAATCTGCGAAGGGAGCTGCTGAGACGTTATCAGAAAAAAGTCAGGCTTTTGAGATGACCAATGCCTTTCAGACTATATCACAGACCGCAGAAGTCGTTAGGAAAGAATTAGACAATCATGGGATTCAAGGACGAGTCTGTATTAATGTACTATTGACTAAATTGAGAAAACGAAAGGAGAGATTAGAGATATTAGAGATCATTATTAATACAGAGGCGACCGGTGTTCTGGACAAGGGGAATAGTTCAACATCAAAATTTGATGGAAATAGTGGCCAGCAGTGAGTTTATGAATGATTTCTTTCGTATTGCTTTTACTCAACACTTTTAATAATTTATTCCTCAGACTAGCGTGTGGAATTATCGCGAGATCATCAGGAGTCTTCGAAAATACGAAAAGAATTTGTGCCTGTGATGGGACGACCCTGTGGGATGAACGAGATGAGTCTAAACAAAAAGGTTCATTCAAAAATACTTTCATATATCCAGGTAAATGAACCACAGCCTAATACTCGTAGTATTTACCGATTGAATACAATTCTAAAAGCCAATGTTTTGTGTGTCTTTTCAGTGTGTGGTAATAATCTTTAAATTCGACCCAGAGTGGATAGTGCACTTTTGGAAAACTACTATAAATTTATTTCTGTATGCAGGTCATGTAAAAGTCATATCATTCCATAATATTCCTGATGAAACATTTTTATATTTCAGTTTTTACTTATGAGGAG